CGAGCAACAATGTGAAATTTTTTATTTTTTTTTGGTCAAACAATGTGAAATTTTTAATTGCAAACTTTGCGCATATGCTTTAGATGATGTTTTTTTGGTTTGGAAAGTATTTTGGACATGATAGCTTAATGGTTTTTTTGAGATTACATTTTGTGCAACTGATCTGAGATCATTTTTTTATGGGTGAAACTTGCGGTTAGCCCAATTTCGATTGGAAAGATATCTTGAAATAGGCTGATCATGTTTCTTTTTGGTTGTAATGCGTATTTTTCAATTGTAAAGTTTCTAGCCAATACATGGATGCCTTGTAAGTGAAATGACTCTAAGAACAAAATTGTAACCCTTATTTTGGTTGATATAATCATATAATGATTTTGTTGCTCAGAGTTTTTCTATTGGGAGTAAATATTTATTTTTAAAAGGCCAAAAACTCATGGGTTGGAATTGGAGTTGTCAAAAATGGAATTGGGATTGGTTTAGTGTGTAAGCTATAGGTAAATAGATGCGTAAAAATAAAATATCTAAAATACCTGTAAATTTAATAGTTCTTTAATGGAATGAGGTGAAGTGAGACTAAAAGAATTGAAAATGTTAGTTTCAGTGTCAAAGTGAGACAATATCAGTTTCAGAAAGTAAGTTGAGATTAAATTGCAGGAGGCATTTCAATTAATAAGCATATTCATTTATTTATTTTATCAGGTGTGGTCATATGTGCTGTTGTGCACCTTGCTCCGTGTACGTGACCATTTGTCCTCTCTGCTGTCGACATGTTGATCACGTTGAATTATAAGCTTTGTAGCTGCAAGGATTGAAGGATTGCAGATTGGAAGAACTTGGTTGCTGGTTTAGAGTTGTAGAAATGACTTTTTAAGTTTGAGTTTGTAATAAGTTGTAATGGATGGTCACGATTAATTAAAACATCTATATGATGTATACCGTGCCATCTGTTTAGTTTGATGTAGTGTTTAAGTTGCCCATATGCAACTCACATGTTTAGTTGTTAGCTGAGGTGTGAGCTAGCAACGGCTATATTTGCTCACTCTCCTCATGCTCATTGTAACCGCATAAGAAGGAATCCAAAGAAGATTTCTCAGTGACGTTTCCATTTTTGCTTCCTCTCTCTTCTTCGATCTTCTCTCTGCTTCTCAGAGATCATATTCTCTTTGATTTTCAGCTGCTAATCACCACTAAAACGAACACTACACAACCTCAAATACACTAACAGAACAGTCTGTGAAAACTTTTCTGCCTAGCCCTAGCATTTCACAAACAATTCAACATCTATTTCAAATCACATTTCACAAATATTTCCAATCCACAAATCGAATCACATTTCATAACAATAGATAGATGGCCAAATATAAAAATAACATTTTAATAGAAATCACGTTTATAAAACCAAGTCATATCCACAAAGGATATTAAATACAAAATTTGGTAATAACCATATCACATTTATTAAAGTTACTCACTAACCAATGTAGGCCCACTAAACTTCACTTAGTCTCTAGTAGTACTAATTTTAGTATTTAAAATGATTTGAGACATGTTGACCAAAAGTCAACTCTCAGTCAAAGGTGGGGTCCACAATCCTACGTAATTCAATCCGAAATATACGCCCATGGATTTCTGATCCATAATTTCCCAAGAGTCTCATTTATCTTCTAGAACAATATCCTAAAATTTTGGAAAGATCTAACGGTCGAATCTCCACCAATTGCTAGAATTAGGTGGCGGTCAACAATTAGTTTTACAAACTTAAAAATTCAATTCATCAAGATCCATACGTTATATTCCCGATCCATTAGTTTCTAATTTCCTCAAATATTACGTGCTATAACGCATTAAAGTTTGGTGCCAATCCAACGGTCTGATCGTCGATGGTTATAATGATCAAGAGGCGGACCCTAATGAAACTATGTTCGAACGATGAGATTTCATCCATCAGATGTCACGTATGGAATCAGGGTATTAAATTTAGAATAGAAGGGTCAAGTGGGTCCCAGACCATGCGCCACTTGCGGCTACCGCCTCGATTCGTCGGAAAATTCACATAACTCCAAAAATTACCAAATTTTACAAAATTGTAGAACACAACAAGGGGAACAAATTTCATACCTAGGCCGAAGTCCAATTCGGCTGAGATATGCCTGAAAACACCCTCGATCCGCCAGAACCTTAGAAATGGGTGTTCCTCAATTCGTCGAATTCGTAGCTCTGCCGCCCCCAAACTTGTTTGGGCTATGTTCCTGGACTCAAGAGACGCCTGAGGGTGGTGGTGGTTGACAAAAAAAACTTTCAGAAATGGCGGAATTGTCGCCGTGCACCCACGAAGCCCTCGGCACAATTTTTCGCAAAATCGAGGCAAAAAACTCTCGGATTGTTTTTTTTTGGAAATGGGAGAATGGAGGTTAGGTGGAGTGTGCAAGTGATGTCTGAGTGGAATTCATTGGAAAAATTGATGAAAATTGACGGATTTGCTACCTAGAACCGGGTTAGGTCCGCAGGTCAAAGGGAAGATTCAGATTGGGTGGTTTTTTTCTCCCTCATTTCCCTTCCTTACTTTCTTTTCTGATTGGCCAGTTCCTCCCCTCCTTTCCCTCCTTTCTCTTCTCTTCTTCTCATCTAAGTTGTACACGTGGCACCCAGATTATTACTTTAGCAAATCTGAAGCCTTCCATATAATGGTCAAATGACCATTTTACCCCTATCTTTGCTCGTTTATATCTCATTCGTTATAACTCCATTTGGCAAACAGTTTTCGCCTATGCATTCGTAGGATCGAGCTCTAATTGAAAACATTAATTGTGACCTTGAAAGGTCTACGGATTTTAAATGATTATTTTCAAAAATTCGAACTTTGTAACTAAGTAGTTAAAATCTAAAATTAATTTAAATTCGTGAAAATACTATTAAATCCCGCGAATACAAATACATAAACTACAATAGTGAAATCTACGAACGGAATTTCACAACTCTATTTGAGTATTGTTTTCTCTCTAATCTAATCTTTGAATCTGATTATATATGTAATGCTTTAGTTGATGTTGTTAACATTGAATTAATATTGCAAGTTTCTATTCTATTTGATTTTACTTTTCACATTTAAATTGACTTGCAAATACTAATTATGGTTGGCAACAAGTCATATTATCGTTTGTTTGTTTGTTTGTTTTTTTTTTTTTTTTTTTAAGTTGGGGACTGTTAAAGAGCATTTAGAACTACTCATGTTCTATGGAACCAAATCTAAAACTTTCTACTTACAAGTGAAACAAAATCACTAACTGTAATGTCAGTGGCTGTATGAAACCAAAGACATGAGGGATTTTTCAGTGTGCTCGGAATATGAGACGATACGCCAAATGTTATTATACAAGTCGAGGGAAGTTTTTTTTTCAAGTGTCTCTTTGCTTGTATGATGACATATGATGTATGTACCCGTATTTCATACTGAAAAATCTCTCCAAAGACGGGCTATTAGAAGATAATCTTAAGCAACGTCGACCTGTGGGAAAAGAAAGTTATTTTCCTTTCTTTGCACCCTAGCTTTTCATTCATATTATTCCCCACAAAACACTTGAAATGTGAACAAAATGTTCGTTCACATTAACAAAACTAAAGAATTTCAGTTGTTCTTCGCAGTAAACTACTAGAACTAATCGAAGTATTGGTATTAATCAAGTTTCCACCGTGATCTGGACAGAGTTTAGAAAGAACGCATGTAAACATGACGCTACGAGAATTGGACATTTATAATTGTTCAGGGGAAAATCGACCAATAAGGAAATTTAGGAGAAAAAGAGGGAAGAAATTCTATAACACAAATCAAACCATCAATTTGTTACTGTTTTGTACTCCGGTAGGGCAAAATGGACATTTTGTATTTTTCCTTATTTTCATATTGGCCCCAGGACGTTTCCAAAAAAACCAATATTTAAGTTAATTTTCCTCAAGCGGCGAAACGTTTGCATTCTCGTACTATCTTCGGTTTAGCTCTTCTCCCGCCGACTCGTTTGCCACTATTTCCCACCTCCGCGATCAGATCCGCCGAGAACCGCCGACGCCGAGTCAGTCTCAAATTTCCCAGGTGGGTGAGTTCTCTCTCTCGTTAAAGCTTGAATACTTGAAACTGAAGCTATCAAACCTGCAACAATGGCGACCAATCAACAACTCGCTCTCCCTCCCTGATGCTCTGATCTCCGCCGTATACACCCGATATAGATCCCCACCGTCCATTTTCATCAGATTCCCTGAACACCCCTTTCGATTTTCATCCCCAACAACTCACAGCAAGCCTTCTAGTCCTCTCTCTCTCTCTCTCTCTCTCTCTCTCTCTCTAAACTGCTTGTGAGTATACGATTACATCTGGGTTTTGTTTGATTTTAAAGTATATTTGTAAAGTCTTAGACTTTGAGATACCTTTAAATTATATTTGCAATTAAATTTTGTGTTGTGATATTATGATTCTCATGTATCTGTTCTGCATTTGTTTCATGGCCCTTAGCTTGTTACTAAATAGTTCTAATTGAACTACTTGTGAATTTTTAGACTCTGCTTTTTAATCTCAATTGAACAACTTGCGGGTAGAGTTTGTGTTGTGATATTCTTACGAATAGACGTTCCCCCGACCTTCACAAAGCGGAGAGCCTTGTTGGCTTGGGGTCGCTTATGTACCTGTTCTGCATTTTTTTCCGGCCTTTGGCAATTCCATATCCTGAATATAATGTGTTTTGAGACCGATGAATCCTTCGCGTCACACCATTGCGGTGACTGATAATTTCAAAATGTGTAGTTCTTTTTGCTTCTTTCTTTCCCCTATAATGCCATCACCTTTACAGCTAAAAAGAGGAATTAGTATAGTAAATGTTTTACGTTGTAGCCGATGTTTGCTACACCGTCTTGTTTTCTCCCTTAGACTTTTTGAATTTCAAACTGAGTTTTGTTACTAATCCAGTATATATGCGTCTCATCTCGTGTTCCTGTGAACATGTGTGTAAGTGTTTGATGTTTACTTGGTAGGCCTCGCCGCCATGGTAACTACATGTTTTTTTAGTTTTAGCATTTTAGGCTTTTCTTAGCTAACTGAATCTGATCATGAGCACGTGATTGTGTTGTCCTAAATACTATGTTCATCAGTCCTCATGAAATATTTTCAGCACAAGTGTGCTTCGCAGTAAATAGCATACACTTGAAGTTCCTAGAGTTTTCTTGTTGTGTAAGGAAAATTTCATATTTGTGCATTCTTCGGTAAAACAGAATAATCATGTACGCCAGGCCCTAATCACTTCATACTTCACCTGTTCCTGCCAGGATTGAGGCCGCAACCACTGCCTATCATCAACGACAGATGACTAAAGTAAGTTTTATTATCCTCCTAATTCTCAGCACGTAAAGCTTGAACTGCAAATGTGCCTTTGTCAATTTAATTTTCTCTAATTTAACAGCTCAGGATTTGAAAGCCTCATTGAAGTTTCAGTTGTGAGAAAAATTTCTCGTTTGGTTTTTGCATCGAACCTTGAAGTCTATTTGGAGAAGCTCAATCTGATTTTGTCTGTGAGCAAATGGGGCTTCTCAGCATTATTCGAAAAATTAAAAGGAAGGAAAAAGAAATACGTATACTCATGGTCGGGCTTGACAATTCTGGTAAGACTACCATTGTGCTGAGAATTAATGGAGAGGACACCAGCGTTGTCAGTCCCACACTCGGCTTCAACATCAAGACCATCATTTACCAAAAGTATACCCTCAACATATGGGATGTCGGTGGCCAGAAAACAATAAGATCGTACTGGAGAAACTATTTTGAGCAAACTGATGGTCTGGTATGGGTAGTTGACAGTTCAGATCTTAGAAGGTTAGAAGACTGCAAAGCAGAACTCGACAATCTTTTGAAGGAGGAGAGGCTTTCTGGATCATCCTTGTTGATACTAGCAAACAAGCAGGACATAAAAGGTGCCCTTACTCCGGAAGAAATTGCCAAGGTTTTGAACTTGGAGGCCATGGATAAAACTCGGCATTGGCAAATTGTCGGCTGCAGTGCATTCACCGGTGAGGGACTGCTTGAAGGATTCGATTGGTTGGTCCAAGACGTTGCCTCTCGGATCTATGTTCTTGATTAGTGCCAAATTTAAGTCACTGGAAGGTAATGGAGGTCACAATCCATGGATTGGCGGAATATGTTTTTTCGATTTGGTTTAGCAACAGAAGAACCTGAACGGAATCTTGAAGTGCTTCAGAAAAGAAGGTGCTCGGAATGCAACAGCAGGACTGTTCTGTAATGAATGACGCGAAAACAAGCTATGTTTACATTTATATTATGTTGACAAGAACTTTCATATATAGTTATGAACCGGAATGACGTCTTGGCCTGTTTGGGATTGTTTCTAACTAAGAGTGTTTATGAGTACAAGTGTTTCCTATGGAATTAGTCAATGATACGATGTTGTGTAGTAGTTCAAACAAGTGGTTAGTGTCGTTTAACTTATTAACTAGTTAGCACTAGAGTGAGAGTGTTTCTTGTAAAATTAGTGAATGAAACGATGTGTATTTTAAGTCAATGAAACGATGTTGTGTAGTAGTTCAGCTGAGTGATTAGTGTCGTATTAACTTATTAACTGGTTAGCATTTGAGCGAGAGTGTTTGTATAAAGTTAGTCAATATTTTAGTCAATGAGACGACGATTTGTAGTAGTTCAAACGAGTGGTTAGCGTCGTATTAACTTATTAACTGGTTAGCGCTAGAGCAAGAGTGTTTCTTATAAAATTAGGCAATGAGATTGTGTGTATTTTAGTCAATAAGACGATGTTGTGTAGTAGTTCAAACGAGGGGTTAATGTCGTATTAACTTATTAATTGGTTAGCGCTTGAGCGAGAGTTTCCTTTAAAATTAGTCAATGAGACGATGTGTATTCTAGAAACGATGTTGTTTAGTAATTTAAATGAGTGATTAATGTCATGTTAACTTATTAACCAGTTAGCTGTATAGCGATTATTATATCGTAACTTATATATGTTTGGCAGTATGGAGATGAATGATATGTTAATATGACCAAACCAACCGACCGACCGACTGGACATTCCAACACAAAAAGGTCATTTGGGCAGGCTCTTATGGGCTTTTAACAATGATTTACGAGAACATGATCAGATTCTTCTATTTGGCCCACTCTGTTTGTTGCTTCATAAATCATAATAAAGTAGTGGACCCCATCTTGTTGTATAGTGCACGAAGAAGCTTCCAAGAAAAGGATCCGTGATGTGACCGTTTATCGTACATCGTACGATTATAAATCATTTTAAAATTTAAATTTAAAATTAAATATAAATAGTACCTAATGAAAACTGATTGCACGATGTATGATGAACAGTTATGATCATGGGATTCCTAGGATCTCCAGGAAAAGGATCGAAGGATCCGACGAGGATCCTTTTCCAAGCTTCCATAGTCTTCTCTAAAGAAAAAGAGATTTTTCAATATGCTGAAAACACGAAATGGTACACTGCGTGTTAAATATACAAGTGGTAAGATAATGAGGGGTAGGGTCCAGTGGGGATGGTCAAATTTTATGTACTGATGGTTACTACGGAGCTGCCATTGTCGGTTCACTCTAGCAAAATTTACGAGAAGTGGTTTCTACACTCTTTATATTTTTATTATAGTTTTATATATTTTTGATATTTGTATTGAACAAATTAAAGAAAATAAAAAGACATCACATCATATTGCATGCAATTGATGAGTTTATCTTTTAGGACATCATATTATGAATAAACATGTATTATGTAAGTGATGAATTACTCTAATGATTAAGACCTCTTAAACTTACTGCATCTAAAGTTCAAACGTCATTTCTCATAACTTAGTCACGTAACGATATTACCGTCAAAACAGGCGATGAAAATAGGTCTTCGAATTTGTCAATTGTCATGCTTTGAATCCCTTTCGTGACGGCATAGACCAGACATTCTTCTTAGTTCCATTGCATTTGTTTAATCTTGGATGGCATCTTCACCTACTAAATTCGACTCACCAATTAATCAATTTGACCGTATTTTTTTTCTTCTCTAAATTTGATTTTTCTACTCATAAATTTCTCCTTTTCGCTTTCCAAATTTTGAATTATTTCGTTGACTGCTGTGCATTATGCAGCTAGCTAAGCAGCCTTGCGAAAGAAGCTTCTTCGAAAGTTCTTTTTGTGTCAGGCTCATGAGCATGCGCATAATGGTATATTCCATATGCCATATTTCTTTTAAATATTGAAACTCCCACACTATACCACGATTGGATTTATTTTCTTAATTGTCATATAATTTCATTTATCTATCAATATAGCAGTGCAGAGAATGTTCAAGTTAATCTTAATTTTCTTAACATTATGAATAAAACAACTATCATTTCTTCTATTTCAGGCGAAATCATAATTTTTTAGGACAATAGTATTATCAACTGAGGTCTCATATTCAGCTTCTTATATAAATCCAAGGCCAATGCATTCTAAGCAAATGTTGTTGGTTCTCACTCCAACATTATTTAAGCAAGATACGCATCCCATGTACATATTTGACTCTTGACACACACACACACAAGGTTTATTAGTTAAAATGGTCCTCGAAACTATCAATTTTTGTCCCTAAATGTGTCATCCATCAATTATTTTGATCATTTCGTGAAAAATCTCCGCTAAATAAGAAAAATGAGACAAACTTAATCTCAATTTTTGTCAAATCATTTTGATACATTGTTTATTAAATTGAGTATATTTTTGTTATTTTGGTCCTTATTTAACAAAGATTTTTCTCGGAAAAACAAATACGATTGACGATGGACAAACTCAGGATCAGTTCTATCGCTTTCAAATCTTAAAGACCAAAATAAAAAAAAAATTCAATCTTAAAAATCATTTTAGCTAAAAATACCTATATAACGTCTACCCTTAACTACTTCTAAAAACATATAAAATGAACATGGCCTTCTATCCCTTTGTCTTTTCATGCCTTCTTTGGGTCAAGCCTAACATATAAGATTGTAGGGGTAGCCAATTGACTTTATTGGGGTCATACGATTACGATCCCATTCCCCTACCTTCCTTCCACAACCGATCTCATGTCACCAGTATTATATTATATAACACCGGTGTTATTGTAACACATAAGAATTTTCTCACATTTAACTGTTATTTAAAACATTAGCATTCCGAATACTTTAACAAACGGGAGTGCCGTTCTATCGGGGGTGTTTTCTTTTCAATTGTTCTAGTGGGGGAAAAGAGTACATTGCTTTGTCGTCTGCTGTCTAGGGCTTGTAGTCTAGTTCGGCTTATTCTCTTTGTCTCAAAACAAGCTTTTTTCTCGTTTTTTTTCTTAACGATCAATATTATCTTACACTATAAGGATGAAAGAGTTGGCTAAGCCTCACAATAATGTGGTTCAAGTTCGCATTTGACGAAAATTGACTATAAAATATTTTACTTACAAATGAATATGAATATAACTAGATATATTATCGATTTTTTCTTTTAAAAAACCGCTTATTGATTATGTTCAATGTAATGATGATGGACTATTTGGTCTAACTTGAAAGGGAAAAAGGTGTTGCCGTGTGGAAAGGGGGAAAAGACATTTGTTTGCTTCAAATGAAAACTTCATCCAGGTTGGTTCATAAATAAATATGTTGATTAATTAACTATAATTCTTTGGGCAAATACTTGATGTGCATGGCTTTTGTGTTTCCTCTAAAGCGTTCCCTCACTTGCTGAGCCAAGTCAAACATGCGTTTGTGAATTAATAATTTCACGAATTATCTAAAGTAAAAGAGAATCAATTATCTAAAATAATAGTTAATTAAAGCTAAATTTATGCATACCAGAACAGAGTTAAGTTTGTCAGTGCAGTGTACTTCACTATTTGCACCCATGTTTAAATTCAAGTTTAAATAAATTCAGTATAATTACTTATCGTTTGTCAAAAAACAAAAACTAAATCTCAATTTATTATAAAACAAAAAGTTCAAATAAAAGCAGAGCTATGATATAAAGGGTTTGTAATTCAAGTATTAAGAGTGTTTGTTTTGGCACCTGAAGTATCGATTACCCTTCTCTATTGCTTGTACAAGAAAAAGAAAAGGTATATGCTAGGTAGAAAATAAGCTCGTTCGGCAACACTTGAGTAATAGTTCAATCATCAATAATCACGTTATATAATTTACAAAATATGATTTAAATAAATGGTCACTAGCATTACTATTTTTTTTTTTTAATAATGAACAAGCAGATTGCTGATTATAAAACCTCATTAGTGGATCTCAGTGAACAAAATAAATATATGTATTGGTTAATTGGAAATGCTTAAGGTTTTGTGAACTTAAGATGTACCTGAAGATATAGTAAGATGTTAGCAGCATTGGAATTTTGATGGAGAAAAAATATTCATCTGAGGTTAATTTATATCTGTTATGTACATAGTACACACATATGTATCCAAAATTAAACAAAATTATATTTATTTGTTCTTTTCTGCGTAGTAAGTTGTACATAAATCAAATTTAGTAGTGCCGAAAAAGCAAATGTTAATGTAGTTTTTATTTTTTATTTTATTTAAAAAATGAACTAGTTAGTGATTTCATCATGATGTGGAGCAGTTAGCAGAAAAGATAGAAAAACAACTAGAGTGTCGCAAACTCGAGAGCACAACAGCAACCAAGTCTGATAGTTTTTTATTTTATATTTTCGTTTCCCTTTTTGATATTTCCGAGTTGATCAACAACTTCCTCGATTTTTATGCAAGGAGGTTGTTTTATTGATAAAAATCGAGATTAATTCTCTCAAGCTTCTGGTGTCACATTCCGGTCCGAGCCCCCACCAAATCCCGGGCTCAACTCCACCGTAACACAATATTGTCCGCTTTAGGCTCCGATCATGCCCTCACGGTTTTGTTTTTGGGAACTCACACGAGAACTTCCCAGTGGGTCACCCATCTTGGGATTGCTTTCACGCGCCACTAGCTTAACTTCGGAGTTCCGATGAAACCCGAAGCCAGTGAGCTCCCAAAAGGCCTCGTGCTAGGTAGGGATGAGAATATACATATAAGGATCACTCCCCTGGGCGATGTGGGATGTTACATCTGGTGTTCCAGATTCTATCTAAGGGTGACCATTTGTGATCCCTTTTCTTGTAACGTTCGTTGTGTCACGTCACGACAATCTACAATTTCGAATATTGAAAAGATTCATGGGCATTTTTAGTCTTTTCGTGACTACCATCACACGCACCAGAAATCGAACCCACAACATCTCTTGTGGACATACAAGCGAGAAAATTTGTCCCCAACACTGAGCTTACCCCGTGTTAGTTGTTAATGTAGTTTTTAATTATTAGATTAATTCAATTTTTTTAACCACTAGCGGCTTGTGATTAGCGAGGGAATATATAACATAAAGCATGTTTATGTAGTTTTTAATTATTTGTAAGCACGTTTGAGAACTAATTATATTGTTTTGTTTTTTATTTCATATGTAATCGGCAGAGGGCCAGGACTCCAGAGCCGTCCAAATGAACAACAATAATCAATATTGCATGTAACATGCTAAAGCA